CCTTCTCTCATTTCCAGAGGGCTGCCTTGCCTAGTCATCAACTTTGATGGATGTCTAAAGATCAATGACCTATTTGTCTCCCCGTTCCTTTACTGAGATATATCATTATATATATATATCTCAAATGAGCTGATGCCTTTTCTTTGGCAGTAATTAGTATATAACCATGGCGCAAAGCCAAAAATCCGCTACGAGATTACGTCGGCAAGAATCATCCCAATGTCCGAAGCCACAGACTTCAGAACATCTTGGGATTTGAAGACCCCCTGTCCTCAGAAGCTTACTTGCAGGAGTCAAGGTTATTTGAATGGACAGGTGATGCAACGCAGTGCCAAAAGATTGAAGGAAACATATTTCACTCTTCTGAAGCTACTCCATCGTGAATCATGACTGAAGTCCATGATACTCTTCCTGCTATGGTTTTGTGGGTGATGGGAATCAGTTGTAGCGTATCACCATCCCTGGCCGCGTACCACTGCTCCAAAGCGAAGCGACACGACTGTTCCATGACACGTGGCACGTGGCTGTCGCCCTCTTTGTCTCTCATGGACCTGCACATTTTCGGCGACGAGCTTTCTTTGGATGCAACATGGATGACAGCTGCAATGTGTGCTATCCACTTGGGACAACTCACATGTTCCACGAAGATGCACATGGGAGGGTCAGCTGGTTTCAGGTCGGGGCAAGAAGCATGAACATTCCCTCGCCCTGCACATGCACATGGTGCTGCGATGCGCTGCAGGTCTTTGTCTCTCCTCTTGGGGCTACGGCAGTTGCAAGGCCTTGTGTTGCGCGACCAACGGCAGGCTGGGATTGGGGATGGGCTGGATGCAGTTGCTAAAATCAGGATGAATCGGCATTACTACAGTATAAAGATATCAAATCGAGATGTTGAAGGCAACCCTAGCAGAGAGGGCAATGGCAGCATTTTAAGAACTACCGCTACCAGTGATTTCACGCCAGGAGGCCCCAAACATGTCAGAACAAAGGGTGAACTATGGGACCGGGCTCTGAGCTTCGGGCCACAACGGCGTGCACCTTTTCGACATCTGAATTTCCAAAAGTGCTCCGACAATGAGGTGTTTTTAGCATTTTGACTTCGAAATGTGCTTCGTGCCACAACGGCGTGCAATTTTTCATCTCTCAGCTGACCAGATGGCTCCGCACCTGCCACTTTACCAACCTACTTTTCGACCCCCCCGAGCCACAAAACATTGGAAAAACAGTGATTCGTGACTTTTCGACTTTTTCGCGCACCTGCATCTTCTTTCTTCTGAGTTTTTCTCCCCTGATCTTCTTTCTTCTTCTCTTCTCTTCTCTGACTCTTCCCACCTCTGCATTTTCATCGGTCCATATTGTCGGAAGTTTGACTTCTAAACTTCCTTCGATAATTGGCTATATCATGGTTAACCGTTAATTAACAATCTACCCATTTTTTGAACCTTCCGATTGCACTCCCATTGTTCACACATGGCAGGCGCCTGGCAGCAGCGCCCTCCAATGGGCCTTCCAGCGCCTGCGCCGTCATGTGCGGCGAGAGGGGGCCCAGGCGCAGCGGCTGCCGATGCGTCATGTGACGCGGCCATCGGTGCCTTGGCCAGACATTGGGGCATTGGGTGAAGATGATGAACATTTTGTGGAGTTTTCTTGATGTATTTCTTGTTGACGATTGATGTGTTTTGATGACCACTGATGATTGCCGATGATTATTGATTATTATAGATGATTGTGGACGGTTATTGTTTGATGCATTTTTCTGACGGAAATTGGGGACCTCAAGCATCCGTGGTTTGAACACAGGCTCTGGGTTGTGCAATTGGGGATGCAAAACTTTCGGTCTGTGATGCAGGAGCTAGGGTGAGTTGTTCTCAGTGCATGTCAAACATCTCAGAGATTTCGTCATGCAACTTTACCCTAACTGTGTTATTTATCTGAAACTCACCAACCACGCCATGGTGGTACAAATTCCTTCGGTAAGATGGCTTTGACAAAGTCGTTTGGACAACTGACTATCATTGCAATTTGTTGTGAGAATTTCATGTTGGAGTCTTGCACACTGCTGCGTCACATGTGAGCCGAGATGGCATCGACGCTGAAAAGCGAATGGCACGAGGCTGGTGTTCTGGAGGACTCCGAGGCCAGCTGCTCCCATGGAACTTCCATTGCACTCCTGGGAGGGTTGTCAGCTTTGGGCATTTTTTGAAGGCCTATATAGTGCCTTTCTGTTGACAGCTGCAAAGTGAAGTAATCAGTTTTGAATTTCCAATTTATGTGTTTTTTATCGTTTGTTGCAGCCACAATGATTTTTCTTTGGCGTGATGTTGGAGTACAGTCCCTTCAAAGATTGCTGGGTGTGGTAGTTCTCAATGCGTATGCGGCGTATGGCATTTGCTGGTATGGATGGAAGAAAGGTGCAAGACCCCTGCAAAAGTTTCCCAATGAATCTTTCCCGAAACGGAGTGTGCATAACTGCGCGGATATACATTCCAAAGGTCAGCCCCGAACTTCGGAGGCAAGCAGCGATGACTCTGAGAGCCAGGTCACTTTTGGAGTTGATGAGGGGATGCGACTGAGACCAATCTTTGCAAGAACACCAGCTTGTTTCAAGATAGTCATTTGCCATTTGGGATATTTCAAATGCAAATTGGCTCACCGAAATGACGCATAGGACCGCAGCTTTGCAGTTGGATCTGGGCAGCGAGCCGAGACATGAGGTTGACCTCGGGGGATCCGAAAGGCTTGGCCAGAAATAAACAGCAGAAACAGTAAAGTCGTTGATGGTTAATCAGCCCTTCATAAGCCTTTATTGGGGAATTCACCTGTGGTTGAATCCCCATGATCTTCTCTGAGGCAACCAGCGCAAGAGTCCACAGGCTGTGTCTTTTGTGCACTGCAGTTGCGGCCAGATCCGATATGAAGAAAGTCTTCTAGGGTAGAACTTCGACGTAGAACTCCCACATGTTCCTCCGCGCTGACCGAACTTCTGCATTGAAACGGCACGACAGGTTCTTGTGGCCATTGGGGAAACATGACTTGACGCCTGTCATGAGATATTATGGCTGGTAATCCAACTGCTCCTCAGCCCCGCAGATAGGTGGAGCTTGCATGGTCGAGAGCTTCAGCGGTGGCTTTCAGGCAGTGATGGCAGCTGTTGGGTTGTTGTTACGGTTTTGGGTGGGGATGCCTTCTGACTTGACATGTGACACGGCAACGGAATACAGCATTTCTGTCACTAAATCAGCTGGATCGAAACTGTTGATATTGGAATCTTCATTCATTCATTCATTCATTCCATTCCATTCCATTCCATTTCATTTCATTTCATTTATTTTATTTTATTTTATTTTATTTCATTCATTCATTCATTCATTCATGCATGCATGCATGCATCCATCTATAATTATTCACTAATTCATTTATATATTTCTCTATCTATTTATTGATTTATTCGAAGGCATAGCGTATGGTCCTGAATCCAAGCTATGAGCGAGTTTTCCTTGTTGTAGAATGATGTTTTCCTATTCAGTTTCTCAGTTTTTCTCTTAAATTTGTGTTTAGCATTTCAGATCCTCAGTTCTTTTATATAGTCTGGTCAGAGTTGTTAGGAGAGGCCTTAGGATCTCCAACGCTAAGTCCCTTCAGCCCCTGGACGAGGCACCGATGGAGGCAAAGACGGCAGATGTCCAGGACCGTGTGGTGATTTGTATCCCCAAATGCTCTTGGATTTTGGCCATAGAAAATAGGAAGCCTAAAATGCTCAACTGGATTTTGGGGTTTGCTGAGTTTCAACCTTCTCTGCCTTGGGTGAAAGTTATATCCGCTGGGCTCTCGGAATTTGACAACGTCTGGCATGAAGTGGATGATTGCGATCATCCTTGACAGTGAATGAGCACTAGCATGTTGATACTACCAGTGCAGTTTGCAAGGAGATGGCTGTGAGTTGGTCCGACTTGGCACAAAGTAACGGATTGGTCTCAACACAGGTCAGGGGTGGGAAGCTAAAGATTTGTCACCCTTTCGTTTTTTCTCGAGTCACGGACTCTGAGTTAGTCGGAACTCAAGTTCAAAAGGGTGAGAATCGCACCATCTGTGGTCTATCCATGCTTCTTGGCAGCTTGTGATCTTGGCAGCTAAAGCATTTGAAGCGTCAAGATCAGCCACTGGGAGGTTCCAACCTCGCGACGCTCCTCCAGCTCGATGCAGGTCATGGAGTTCCTATCCTGGCTTTGAAAGTTGAACTTCTCATTGAATGCCACGGTTTGTGTTTAACTTCCGTCGGACACTGGGGAAGACAATGGAGCGTTAAAGGGTCACTCTGGTGCATTTTTAAAAGTTATGCTCACCCCCATGTCCATCCACCATGTCCACCGGTTTAGGGAGGTCCAAAGTTTCAACCACAGCATATCCAGGCTGACCTCGTTTGGATCCCAGGTCCAGGAAACTGTCCAGTCATGGCTGGAATGATACACCTTGAACCAGCAGAATCAATCATTGACTCGTCAACTGGTTAACTAGCCTAACCAACAAACTTGCTTGTTGCAAGATTGATCATCCAAATCATCCTGTCCTTTCTTGCCAATGGACCCTGTTTGCGATGGCTTATGTGAGGCTGTGCAAGGAGAGTTTGATCATGCAATCCGGTGGTTTTTGCTTCACAAGGTTTGTTTTCCAGCATTTATTTGAACGTCCAATCTAACAGCCTGCGCTGCACTGGCTTTTTTGTAATGGGAATGCTTGGATCGCAGTGTCACATCGCCAAAACACTGCAGCTTGCATCAGCTCCAGCTGCAGTTCGCAAGCGACAAAGTAGCAACTAGCAGCTAGCAAGCTGTTTCTCTTTCGTTTCGTACCTTAAAGTGAATAATGAAGGCAAACTGCTTTCTTAAAACACGAATATATAAATGTTCTGACAATGGTACAAACTGCATTGATCTGCATTGAGTGGCCACATTCATGTCATCAGGATCAGCATCATCAGCATTCCCGTTGCAGTGGACGTCATGTTCCCACCATGGGCGTCTCACGGCATGAACTCTACGCCTTGCAGTGTGCAGATGGGCAGGCAGGAGGGCTTGGCACGGCTTTGAGCTAAGTGTTGATGCTGTTGATGCGTGCATTGGGGATATTCACATACCCTTCAATGAACAATCATTACATCGGGGGTACTTGTGACGGGGGCACAGTACTTGTGACAGGCAATCCTTTTGCAACCCTCGTTAGCACAATCCTCTGCCGCCTTCACAGGCCGCGATGTCTCCTCGCCGGGGACAGGACAGCAAGGCTCTGGGAAGGTGTGGCTACCAGCTGCTGCCACAAGGTAATCAAGGTAATCAGAGGTAATCAGAGGTAATCAGATGAAGCTTTTCGCAGCCCTGAGCTACGGTAATGGGTCTCGTCCCCAGTGGGATCATCGACGCCACAACTCGATCACAACTCGACGCAGGTTGCTCCAGGACTTCCAAGAGGAAGGCCTTGCGGACCGGGAGCTGAATAGCCTCAGTTGCAGCATGGAAGTCCACAGCAAATGTAGATGCACTGATGCCACTACAGAGACCACCATATCACGAAAGCTAGCGCTAGCGGTAGCTAGCTGGAGTTACTCTTGCTTCAGCAAGGGGTGGGGCAGGCCTGAGTCCAACACAGTGATTTTTCACTCGAACCCCCCCAAGCTCCCGGGGCATTTTGAAGCAGTCTCGGAAGCAGATGGTCACGTGCTCAAATCCTGCCAGGGCCGTCCCTCTGTAACTCTCTAGTCTTCTTTGGTTCAGATGTCCTACGACTAAAAGCCGAAGATTACATGTTGTTCGGATACAACTCTTGCGCCCTATGCTTCATCAGAGCATGACATTACAAGCTCGCCGGAGCTTCGATCAATTTGGCCGTGGACTCGATAGAATTCTTTGTGACTCAGATCCACAGTTGAGGCTTTTAACCCCATCAACAATTACAATCTTGGATGGGGCCCATACTTTTTACAGTGCCCATCTTCTTTGGTTCAATTGTCTTACACCTCAAAGCGGCAGATTACGTGTTGTTCGGATGGAACTCTTGCACAATATGCCTCACCAGAGCATTAGGCTCGATAGAGTTCTTTCTGACTCAGGTCAACACTGTGTAGATTTGAGCCCCGTCAAAATTACAATTTTGGATGGGGCCCAAACTTGAGCGCGTACCCATCTTCTTTGGTTCAGACATTCCAAGCTCGCCAGAGCTTCTAACAATTTGGCAGTGGGCTCGATAGAATTCTTTGTGACTCGGGCCAACAGTTGAGGATTTGAGCCCCATCAAAAATTACACTTCTGGAAAGGGCCCCAACTTTTTACAGTAACCATGTTCTTTGGTTCACATGTTCTACGAATGAAAGCTGAACATTACACCTCTTCTTTGCAACCGTCTTGACTCCTTCCCTGTGGATGAGTATCGTCTGACACTTTGGCAGTGAGCTCAAAAGCAGCTCCGGATACAATCCTCCCTATTGTTCAATGGCGGTGCCGGCTGCAAAGTCCTAGATCACTTGCATTTATGTCGTGTATGTTTGCGGCTCTTTATACCTCCTGCGGATGTCATCAAACACAGCATGCAACTGCCTTCTACAGATGAACCTCTGCATTGTGCAGCTCCTGTGCCTGTATATGCATGTCTATCTCTTTGTGTCGATATCGTGTTCTGATTTTCTTTCTGTATTTTCTTTCTTCATATATATATATACATCTGTATTTATTTATATATATCGCTATACATATGTATTTCGTATATACCTATATCTGTATATTATTCACCCCGCTTCGCGTGGGGTGGCCGCCCACACCGCAGGTTTATTTCGGTCCGTGAGAGGGGCTAAGGGTGGTTTTCCGGGGGCTCCCCAAGCTAAGAATTTTCACTTTCCCCCCCCGTGGGGGCTCCCCAAGCTAGGGAATTTTCACTTTTCCCCCCCGTGGGGGCTCCCCAAGCTAGGGAATTTTCACTTTTCCCCCCCGTGGGGGCTCCCCAAGCTAGGGAATTTTCACTTTTCCCCCCGTGGGGGCTCCCCAAGCTAGGGAATTTTCACTTTTCCCCCCCGTGGGGGCTTCCCAAGCTAGGGAATTTTCACTTTTCCCCGCCGTGACAGCTTCCCAAGCTATGGAATTTTCACTTTTCCCTCCCTTGGAGGCTCTCCAAGCTGCGGAATTTCAAATAGCTAGACAACGACGCCTAGATAGTCCCCCAAATCCCGTGTTCTTTGAATGTGTTTCCATGTTTTTGCAATGGTTTCCTTCAAAGCACGGTACTTTACACTTTTGTCGCCATAAAACCGGTCGAAAACATCATGTTCGACAATGCTTCCAATTCCCTTATCTCCCCAACCGTTGAAAATACCGCTATTTACAGTGTTTTCTTCAATTTTTCCATGTGCCAATGCCGGTAGCCAACTCCAACATATATATAAGAAATCCTTCCAAAACATTGTTTTTGACAGTGTTTTTCCAATGTTTCCAGTCAAACAGACGGTAATTTACACGTTTTTTGCCATAAAGGCAGTAAATCCTTCCAAAACATTGCTTTTGACAGTGTTTTTGTAATGTTTCCAGTCAAGCATACGGTAATTTACACGTTTTTTGCTATAACGTCAGTCCAAAACACTTGTTTTTGCAGTGTTTTCAATGCTCTGGCATCCAAAAACCCTGCAAAATCTTGCTATGTACAATGTTTTTTTCATTTTTGGCCGTTTTTCCATTGCCGGAAAGCTACCAAAATGACCCAAAATTCCATTTCAATACCCTCTTGCGCTCAGACACCCAAAAATCCTCGAAAAATGTTGAAAACACCACCGTATTCTGGTCTCGGTGCGAAACCGTTTTTGGCCCCCCCCAGCTAAAGCTGATATAGCGACTGCTATATTAACAAATGTCATTGAGCATTTAGTGTTGCTGTTTTGCCCCCCAATAAGCACGCCTTCACCGCCAAAGCGGTGTGGGCGGATTTTCTCTATCTCTCTGGCACGTTTCTAGCGCACGTGCTCCGCCCCAATTCTTTTCACCGCTGTTCCAATTTCACTTCACACTGCCGCAGTTTCATTTCACTGCCACAAAAAAGGCTCCGGAAACATGCGCGTGCTTTCTACTTCTCTGCGTGTTTCCTATTTCCACATTCATGTGACCTTTAGCTTTCTTTTATAGCCCCCTGGGCCTCAAGTCAAGTATTTTGTAAATTTTCTCCCAACAGCGTAGGCTAATGGGGTCTTCGGCCCAGAATAGCTCTGGTGTGCACTGGCGCCGGGTCAGGTTCAACGAGGTTCCGGAGAAGGTTCCGAAGGTTCCGGATAAGGTCTGGGAGGCTTTGGGTCAGGTTCAACATGGTTCCGGAGAAGGTTCCGGAGAAGGTCTGGGAGGCTTTGGTGCAACGCCAGGTCAGGTTCAACAGGGTTCTGAATAAGGTTCCGGAGAAGGTCTGGGAGGCTTTGGTGCAGAGCCAGGTCAAGTTCAACAGGGATCCGGAGAAGCTTCCGGAGAAGGTTCTGGAAGGCTTTGGTGCAGCCAGGTCAAGTTGAACAGGGTTTCGGAGAAGGTTCCGGAGAAGGTTCCGGGAGGCTTTGGTGCAGAGCCAGGTCAAGTTCAACAGGGATCCGGAGAAGCTTCCGGAGAAGGTCTGGGAGGCTTTGGTGGAGAGCCAGGTCAGGTTCAGGGTTCCGGAGAAGGTTCCGGAGAAGGTTCCGGACGGAGAAGGTTGCAGAGAAGGTCTCAGAGAAGGTTTTGGGAATCTTCAGTGCAGGGCCAGGTCAGGTTCAACAGGTTCAACAGGGTTTGCCGCGTTTGGCTTCGCAGCACGCTTCAGAAAGATTTGCAAAAATAAAACGTTGCGGCTGTTGGGGATACCACGGAAGCTTATTGTTATCGATTTCAAGTACTGTAAAGTGTATGTTCTCTGATGCCAACTGTTTGGGGGACATCTTCCACTCTTGCCACGTCATGCCATGCCCAGAGGCACAGGAAGCAAACCATGGTTATGACTTCGGTAAATGCTACTCACGCGACCATACCATACCATTTCTAGTGCGGAGCTACAGGAGAATCGTCGCTTCCTGGGTACGAATGGCAGGAGAGCCACAATTTTTTGAAAAGCGCCCATGAGACTTCAACAAAGAGAAACTTCCAACGAAACTCTGTCCATGAGTCGGATAAACCTTGAGAATAGCATGGAAACGAGTCGCACGCAGGTCTGCCATAAATCATTAGAGAGAAAACTTGTCATCTTGTCTTCAGTCACCAACAAGAGGTACCAATGGTACCAAACACCAAGTGGCAGGTCGGTTTGACTGTGACCCTTTCATCCGCTCAAAATCGTTTCAAGCCAAAAGTCATCAAAGTGGCTCAGGATAAAACCCCAACCACAAGTGCAGCTACAGCTTCCAGTGACCGCAGGCGAAGTCACGATGGATCAACGCCTCTTTCCTGCAGAGCTGTGACATGCCCTGCAGAATTCTTTCCCAGCCGATGCAAAAAACAAATCACACCTCCATAAACAAGTGAAGACCATGTGCAAGATTCGGTTTGAGCATCAATCATCGGGATCTGCAAAAGAACCATTTTCCCTCTGTACCTAGAGGCTTACAGGTAGTGTCCCGTCTCGAGGGAATCTCCCAGGACATCATTGGAACCAGTCAAGTGGCTGCGATTCTCTATGCTTTGACATCGTTGAAGGTTATGAACTCGTTACCGTTACCAGGCCTCTGTGATGGCTGACCCATTGTTTTTTAGATACGCAGAATCCAAACGGCCTCAGCCTTCAGTTGTAGGTCAACAGCCCAAGGAGGCCAAAGATTTGGTCAACTGGCGGATTCGACCAGGTCACGGGGGGCTGATGTTTGCATGTACTGGGATCGCGATTATCTTGCTGTGGAGACACTGAGTATGGACAGAGCAGCTGTTGACGTCTTGCTGATTCATCCCAAAGGTGTTGTGCACTACAGGTCAACATGTGAAATGTCCTGTTCGGAGGAAAATCGAGTGAAGACAAGCTTGAACGATTGCTGAGGAGAAGCTTCCGACCTGCATGAAACAGCAAAGCTATTGTCATCGGATATGATGCCATTCTTGATGCCGAGCTTCAAACACCAGCAGATCCAGGAGCTTAGCAAGGGCCAACATCATAGAGGCGACGTGGGAATGGGCTGCTGGCAGAGTCACCAGTTGGTTGCGGCGGGAACAATATCTTCATGTTGTCCTGAGCCACATCCGCGAAAGGAGCACTTGCTAGAATCTGCAGGCGCAGGCGTCAGTGGAGTGCAGAGCATTGCTGTTTTGAATGATGATGATGATGATGATGATGCTGATGCTGATGGTGATGGTGATGGTGATGGTGGCGGTGGTGATGATGGTGATGATCAGAAAGCTGCTCTTTGGGATTTTCCCTCTCTTGATGGATGAATCTCTATCTAGTGGGTGCATACTCACAGGTCAGGTGAAGTGGAATTCCGATGTTCTTACAAACAATGACTTCAACTATCATCGACTTTATCCATCCTATTTCAGGTTGTGCTTGACATGTTGCAGTAGGATCAACCAGTCTAATCCTTGGCGGGTTTGCCCAAAATAGGGTACACGACAATTCACGAATTTACCATCATTTTTCCGATGAAAGTTGTCATAAATTAGGGCATACATGCGTACCGTATCAGGCGTGGCCTTTCGTCACAGCAGTAAGTCCGCAGAATTGCGGGATGGGGCCCAGTGGAACACCCGAGAATTGGTTCCTTGGAATGTTCGAACGTCAATGGATGCTGAGGGGATGCTGTTCATACATGCTTGACCTTCATCACCAGGGATGATTTAACAGACTAAACCCTGGTTGATTAATCAGAGCGTTCCTCCCAGATCATGATAATTTGCTCTAAAATGGTACCAACTCTTTTCCCGAATGCGTAGCAAGGGTTCCCGTTTCACTCTGGGGGTCTGTGGGTTGAGGGTGTGTTTGTTCGACGTTGCCTAACCGGTCGCAACCGTCCGCAACCGTCCGCAACCGTCCGCAACTGTTCGCAACCGTTCGCGAGAGGGCCGTATGGCCGTGCCTATGGTAAGTTCTGCAGAAGGGGTCATTTTTGGAGGTTTCAAACGTCGCGTTGCTTCGTTTCGCGTGGCAGACGTGGCCATTCGTGACATTCAGACGTGTGTTGTAACGTGTCGAAAGTCGTTTTGTGTGGCAGGCGCGATACTTTTGCCACGTTTTCGCAAGATGAGTTGCAGTTTTCGTGGCAGGAGCGGCACTTTGGACGTGTCAGTGTCCAGCGTCATTTTGCGTGGCAGGCGCAGCACTTTAGACGTGTCGTGTTGCGTGTTTTTTGCGAATCGCATTGTCAGGGCTGCGTCAAGTGGCGACAAGGTGCAAATTCCGTGGCAAGTGTGGCACCTTGTGAGATGTGATGAAAGTTGACGGAGGCCTCGCACGAAACATTGATTTTGAGGTAGCAAATTTAGAGGTTCCTGGGAAAACTCGTAGGAAAACGTCTATTTTGAAGCTACAAAGTGTGAAAATTAGAGGAAGTCTCGCACGAAATGCTTGCTTTCCCACGTGTCTCGTCTCGACTCTCTGGTTCCTGTGGCCTCGCCGTGTCTATGGGGGAAGCTGCAAAACTTCTCCTTTTCGAAGGTTTCCAAGCAGGTTGTCATGTCGTTTTGCGTGGCAGGCGCGGGACTTTGTGACATTCCAACCTGTTTGATAACGTGTCGAAAGTTGTTTTGTGTGGCAGGCGCGATACTTTTGCCACGTTTTCGCAAGATGAGTTGCAGTTTTCGTGGCAGGAGCAGCACTTTGGACGTGTCCAGCGTCATTTTGCGTGGCAGGCGCAGCACTTCAGGCGTGTCGCATTGCCTGCTCCACACTCCACCCTTTGCACTCCACACTCCACACTCTACACTCCACTCCACACTTTACACCCCACACTCTACACTTTACACTCCACACTTTACACTTTAGACTCCACACTTTAGACTCCACACTTTACACTCCACACTTTACACTCCACACTCTACACTCCACACCCTATACACGACACTCCCCACTTTACACTCCACACTTTACAGTCCACACTCCGCACCCCACACTTTACATTCCACACTTTACACTCCACACTCCCCACGCTCTACACTTTACACTCCACGCTCCGCACTTTACACTTTACACATCACTCTTTAAACTGTACACTCCACACTCTACACTCCACACTCTACACACGACACTCCCCACTTTACACTTTACACTCCACACTTTACAGTCTACACTCCACAGCCCACACTTTACACTCCACACTTTACACTGTACACTCCGCACTCCACACTACACTTTACACTCCACACTCCACACTTTAGACTTCACGCTCCACACTTTACACACTCCACACTCCACACTTTACACTCCTCACTTCACATTCCACACTCCACGCTTGACACCTTACACTCCACACTCCTTCCACGCTCTACACTTTACATCCACACTTTACACTTGAGACTCCACAATTTACACTCCGCACTCCACACTTTAGACTCCACACTCTACACTCCACACTCTACACGCGACACTCCACACTTTACACTTTACACGCCACACTTTACAGTGTACCCTCCACCCCACACACTTTACACTCCACACTTCACACTCCACACTCCACACTGTACACTTTACACCCCACACTCCACACTTTAGACTTCACGCTCCACACTTTACACACTCCACACTTTGCACTCCTCACTCCACACCCTACACTTTACAATCCACACTTTACACTCCTCACTTTACATTCCACACTTTACACTCTACATTTTACACTCTACACTGTAAACTCTACACTTTACACTACACACTCCACACTTTATACTCTACACTTTACACTCCACACTTTAAACTCCTGACTCCTCACTCTACACTTTACACTCCACACTTTACACCCCACACTTTACATTCCACACTTTACACTCTGCACTTTACACTCTACACTTTTCACTCCACACTTTACACTCCACACTCTACACTCCACACTCTACACTCCACACTTCACACTCTGCACTCCACACTCTACACTCCACACTTGACAATTTACACTCCTTACTCTACACCCCACACTCCACACTCCACACTCTACACTCCACAATCCACACTCCATACTACACTCCAAACTCCTTACTTTACACTCCACACTCCGCACATTACACTTTACACTCCACACTCCACACTCGACACTTTACCCACTGCACACTCCATACTCCACCCTGTACACTTTACACTCCACACTCCACACTTTACACTTTACACTCCTCACTCCACACTCTACACTCTACACTTTACACTTTACACTCCTCACTCCACACTTTACACTGCACACTTTACACTTGACACACTACATTCCACACTTTGCACTCTACACTCTACACTTTATATACACTCTACACTCTACACTTTACACTCCACACTTTACACTCCACACTCTACACTCCACACTCTACACTCCACACTCCACAATCCACACTCCACACTTTACACTCCACACTCCTTACTTTACACCCCGCACTACACACTCCAGGCTCAACACCCCACACTCCACCACACTCCACGACACTCCACCACACTCCACCACACCCCACCACACTCTACACTCTACACACTCCACACTTTACAATCCACGCTCCGCACTCCTCACTTTACACTCGACACTCCACACTCTACACTTTCCACTCCACACTCCACACTCCATACTCTACACTCTACACTTTACACTCCCCACACGACACTTTACACTTTACACTCCTCACTTCTCACTCTTCACTCTACACTCCACACCTTATATTTTACACTTTACACTCCTCACTCCACACTTTACACTCCACACTCCACACTTTACATTCCACACTCCACACTCCACACTTTACACTCTACACTTTACACTCTACACTCTTCACTTTCCACTCTACACTTTACACTTTACACTCTACACTCTACACTCCACACTTTACACTTTACACTGCGCACTCCTCACTCCACGCTTTACACTCCACACTCCACACTTTACACTGCACACTTTGCACTGCACACTCTACACTCTACACTTTACATTCCACCCTCTTCCGCGTTCCACAGTCTACAGCGCACTGGTACGGAAACAAGGGAAACATGTAGACTGTTGAAATAACTTGTTTCATAATAGTGTTCTGTATGACTGCATTCGGGTTCCTGGGCTGCATCTTGTTTTTAAGCTGATCGAACATCTTGGACCTAGCTCCAAAAATCTTTCGACAGCGATTGAGTTGGCCAAGGTTTTAACTCATTTGTCTCCGTCGTATCAACGCGCTTGGCTTCGACTCTTTGACAGCTTAGCAGTGGATCCCTACAACGACCAGCGCAAAGAAGGCTCGCAGGGGTAGTGGCGTTGTTGAAGTTGCACACCCTGATGATGTCTGTTTTCCATGGCTATAGGCGTACCAAAATCTTCTGGGTGGGGGCTATTGCCAAGTTCAGTACGTCTGGACGACCAGATCACCTCCCGTGCCCCGTACCCGGCTGTGCCTTGGACTTTGTGGCAAGCTACCAGGTGAGGACGAGCCCTTCCGTCTCGAACACGGCAAAGGTGCGGGAGAAGTGACACGTATTGTGGTGCAGTACATCATCCTGAGCATGCTGGCGCACTATCTACCGTCCCACAAAAACCATAGACGGCTGTAACTTGCACTTGCAAGTGCACATGTGCTTGATGCTACGTTAGAGGTTGGAGCAGTAACGTGCACTCCGCGTGCACATGCACTGGATTATGTTAGAGGTTGGGAGGGTTGGGGTGGGGTGGGGGGGGGGGGGCAGTGGCGTTCACTTGCAAATGCACCTGTATTGGATTACGTTAGTGCGTGCACATGTGCTGGATGCTACGTTAGAGGTTGGGCCAAAATGCAGCTTCCAGGCCCTCAAAACCCACCCTTCGCCACACTGAAGCAGCGTGCCAGTGAAGGATGGATCGTGCCGGAAACTGCGGTTGATCTTCCTCTGGCGCTCTCCTCTTAGCTGATAGCAGGGGTCGGTGGACACAAATCGCGGGCCGGTAAACGGCGCGTCGGGTGGTCATGCACACCTCATGCAGACGTCACATTTCAAGACTGGTTCATATATATATTTTTCGGATCTTTTTGGTAGATTGCGCGGTTATACGTATACTTATTACATATTATATGCATTTATATACAATACAAATACAATCATGCATATATGAGTATGTATATGTGTATGTATATGTGTATGTATATGTAGCATATATTATATATGTACATACGTATATATATATACACACATTTTCATATATCTATTTATATACCCATTATTTACACTCATACTTTTTCCATCGAGCAGTCTTCAAGGCACCGTGCAGCATCACTTGATGTCAACCTGCCGTGGGCCGCTGTTTACTCTTCGGTTTTTTCCCTACTGGTCTTACCAAGCACGTCATCCTTCCAGATGACAAATGATGAGAAAGGGAAGTGTCAATACACTCACATCAGTTCGAATATCTTTCCGGACCTTCCTTCAAATAATCGGAATCATTGGCCATCCAAAGTGGTATATTTCATCAAGTCTACAACTAGAGGCGCAAACATTTTGCCGAGCCTCGAGTTTCTGGAGCCAGGAGTTTTCGATTTCTACCAAGATCCACAAAATCAAGAAGCGGCGCAACTGGGTTTCGAAGAATGAAAGCAAGCGCTTATTGCATGACCGGAACATACGCGCGAAGACTACAGCATTGAGAGGACAAGGTTGGATGTGGCTATGTCATGAGGTGCACATTTTCTAGAATTCAAGATGATATTCTGCTATACGGATAAGACACCTGTGTCTGCAAAACCATGACAGAGAACATGCTGTCTCGACAAGTTCCGGAGGGCGGGCCGTAAACGTCGACAGTCCTCCTATATACAATGTTTGACAAAGACAAAGATCATCAAAAAATGTGCATGACATAGTGAAATGACATAATGTAGCAAGTTCCTCTTCATGGATGATAGAGATGTAGCTGTGATAAGCTATGATATCTTCTCAAGATGGAGATCAAAATATATCTGATAAAAATCTCGATCTGTGTTCGAACTGACAAGTCAAGCACGACGAGCAGGTCATAGCCAGGTCATAGCCTGATCTGCCTTTTTTTCTGCATCAGGGCAGCGAGGAAAGCTTCATCTTGTTTAAAATTTAAAAACACACGTCTCATTCTCCATCCAAGAAGAAGTTAAGATAAGACAGACTACCCCAACCCCCATGACGCAACGTAGGACATCTCTAGCAAAGCACATCCGTGACGTACCACCCCATGTAGAGGTTAACATGTAGACGTACTACCCCAAACCCCGTGACGCAACGTAGAACATCTCCGGCAAAACACATTACGTGAGTGCAAGCCACAAGGAACCTTATGTAGCATCACGTGAATGCAAGTGCCAAGGAACGTTCTTGACCCCCCGCCCACCCCACCCCACCCCACCCCACCCCATCTATAACTTAACGTAGCATCAACGTGACGTAGAATCACGTGAGTGCAAGTGCCAAGGAACGTTATTGCCACCCCCAGCCCCACCCACCCCACCCGAAACACTGACGTACGTGGGGAAAGCGGCACAAAAACACGCCGAGCGCCTCTGGGAATTGTGTTAAAAAAACCGCGTTTTCAGCGCGACCTAGCCACCAACAAAGCCACAGTGCAAAACGGGAGTAGGTGATGCCAATACAATGCGGTGGGACCTTCGACACAGGGCATTCTTTTAATGAGCTGAGAGACTGCCACGTGAAGACGAGGCAATCCTTTGATGATTTGATGTCTGGTTTCAGCGATTCTGATCAGGTTTCTTGGCGGCATCCGGTGTGCAGAGAGAATAGGATAGGTCTTCATCAAGTTTTCATCTTTTCCGCAGTCGAGTTTCAAGAAGAAGTTCCATGCAAGGGTTGGATTGCAAATGCGACCGCCTAAACCTGCTCAGTCGTGGCAGGTCTACCTCAAGAGCTGAGAAAGTAATCAGTCGAAATGGATATTAGTTGGTGATGGTTCGCCCAAAGTGCCCATTTCACTGGAGTGCTATGCTTTATGTGTGCAGTTTGGAGCGAACAATCCTTCTTCGCACAGAAGATCTAGGAAGCTAGGAACCGCAAAAGGTCAGATGAAGCAATTCTTCACAGTGCTTTGTTCTGCTACCAAAAAGGTTAAGTACCCATTTTGTTCACATCTTGAACAAACCATGAAACTGTCGCCTCAGAATCCAAGCCTTGGATGGTTTTCCAGTGCCTGGGCCGTCCTAAGGTTTACGATGGACAAAGTGGAACTGAGTTGGTTGCCAGCCTGCCTCTTGGCTATGAGTGGACTTCTAAAGTTCTAAAAAGAATCAATGTTGAATATATAGTGATGAAACTAAGAGAACTCATCTGGAGAGCTAAACTTCTCCATGGATTTTATCGGCCCACTGAGGCCTCTCTGGGAAGATCTTTGTAAGTCCAAACAGCCAGCACAGGTGGGGCGTTTGATTTCCCACACTCCCCACCTTACAAGTGAGATTGCTTTAAGAGGTAACAGACAGAAAGCAACCTTGAGGAGAAACTACTCACACAAGTTCCTCACAACAGTTTCCCTCCGATGTCATCAAAACATGGCTTGCTGGACGTTTCCCCATTTGTGTCAATGATTTTCCCAGCCAAAAAAAATCCTTCATGGCTGCGGGGGATTTCCCATTCACCATCTTAGGTGGTAGACCTGGGCGGTGGACAAGGAGTGCTGTTGTCAGCTCTCTGCGAGCGCTATGGCTTCAAAGGCACCGTGGTCGACCGTGAAGGCAAGAAATGGGTCCGTTTTGGGGTATCCTGCGGTATCCTGCGGTATCCTGCGGTATATCCCCCAAAGTTGGTGGTTAATCGTTATTTCAAATCCATTGAATGGATATACTTGGGGCTTTACTGGTATACCGTATACACCATTATGACCCATTTGGCGATTGATGGCTCTTGAAATGATTTTGGTCATTGTTGAAGGGGGAAGCTGGGCAGTTGACTGAAATTCAGCTGGCAGTTTTATCAGTTGGATTCTCAAAGAGGCAGAGCCCAGGAATACAAAGTGCGTGCAGACCAGATTTGTCGTGCCGTCGTCCGTGACAATCAGAACCCGCGCCATGGTCGTGCGCAGATGGAGATTTCTTTACGGCGGGTATTGCGGAGAACTTCCCCGATGCCCAGGCCTTGCAGAAAAGGGACAACCTCCCACCTCCAGGGCAGGGTGCTTTCCGCTGGATGCTTCAACATTTTCTACCAGTCTCAGGCGGTCAGTTGCTGACCACCTTTGTTGTACGCCTTCCTAATTCGCTCAGAGTGTAGGGATATTGTTGTTGCTTTCTCGTCGGAAAGCTGCTGGAAAGTTGGACATGTTGCAATCCTCAAAAGATATGTGGGCCCCGCTGACTAGACTGTCTGAGGGCAAGCATAGTAAGCGCTGCGAAAGAATACATACCTCATGACAAATGCGACCTATATGGCCTCAATCTCAACATGCAGAAAACTGATAGGTTTACATCCTGAAGTGGGTGCTTCACGACTGGTCCGATGAGAGGCTCCGCCTTTCAGTCTCGAAACATTCTGAAACATCCTCAAACGGCAGAATTGCAACCCCTTTGACAACATTATCAAGTATAGGAGGCTTGGCAGTTGACCCATGCGATACTCACTGCAGGTAGCTGGCCCTGCTGCTTGAGGTGCAAGATAATTCTCCGGAACTTGCATGAAGCTGTTGCAGCTTGTCAGCGCTTCTGGTTTTCATCCCGGTGAAATGTCGGGATGTCTTCTCCCCTGCTAGATTAATATTTGCTTGCATCGAAATGAACAATGCAAGCACCTAATTGACGTCTTGTCAATCTGCAAGGTGCTGTCTCTTCCTCTTCGCTTTCATGTATGAAGCGTATTTGTTGTGTCTTTCAGAAGCAGTGGGTGCAGGGCATCGAAGTGAACCGCAGGTTGAAGATTCCAAAAAATAGGTTTGTCCAGTGCTCCATAAGACTCGCAACGTACGATACAAACTGCATTGTAGCCTGTGGGTTGGTATCCCAGGACGTCTAGGGCCAGCCACAACCCCTTTCAGACCAAGTCTTGTCGATCCAACTTTTGACAATGACACGTTTTTGTATTTCAGACCAAGCCTCAAAGGCAGTGCCGTCTTTAGATGAAGCGATTTCTTCACAATGGCCACGTCTTCTGGTACTGGAACAGGCTGGACCTGCGAAGAGTGAGCCGTTGCAAACAGGTTTCGCACGAAAAGAAAGGAAATGAAAGTGATCAGAATGCCTCAGTGGCTGAAAACAAGTTGATGAAATGTAGTTTCAAGACAGTCTCAGCTAATCTCAGCATGTTCTTGGAAGCTTGAAGCCTGTGAACTCTCAGATGAGATCATAATTTGGAGGTTTTGAACCAGGGTCTTAGAATGATCAGTCCAACTAATTGACTTTCTGGCTAGAGATGCTGCAACTTGATACATGTTGATATCATCTCACCGCACAGAGATTGGATGCACAGTTTTTCAACTTGAATGGGGGCCGACTTGCATTCCAAGCGATTCCAAGTACCAGAACGCGCACGGCCTATTGGCCTATTTGAAGTGTTGCCCAAGTTGTCCCCAGATATCCACCTCATCGGAGTGCCCGCTTCACTGAGCAGCGTCGTCTCGTGTACGATCTGCAAGCTTTTCGATTGATAACATTTGATGACTGATAAACAAACAATTATTCAATCATATTGATGCAGGTAGCGTTCATTCTCATGATATCAGATTCAATGATGAATGTACCATAAAAATTGGAGAGTCCGTTTTTTCGTCACCTTTTTGTGGCTCAGAAAGGCTTAGGTTCCGCGCAAACCGGGCCAGGTGTTGCCGGAAGATTCCGACACCTCGGCTATGGCCCAGTTGGCCAGGACGGAGCTGGATGATGCCGGACTGCCTCTTGGGTGGCACAGATTTTGGGAATTTACCACAAATTTACCATACCAAAGGGGATTTCGATGGATTTCGTCTAGAATCAAGAAGTTGTGAACATTTCTATTGTTTAGATTCACATGGATGATCAGCTATGAGGTTTTAGGTGCAACATTTTGGCCCTGTTCAGGCTTGAGGGGAGAAGACAGACCAGCTTCAAGAGGGAACACCCATGATAGGACTGCTATGGACTGCTGGATGTTCTTAGAAACTCATGAAGGAAAGTTGCACAATCCAGTCATAGGGCAGAAAACATGAACGCAAATCCCATCCTCGGCTGAACCCCGAGGTGGGTCATCTATGGGGGTCGTGAGCGCCGTGTCTCTGAGACTCAACACATTTGAGAACTGTGACCTGGAAATCCCATCTAGGTTTGTTTGAAAATAGGCTATAGCCCCTCAATGGCTTATAAAAATACGAACTAGACGACGGATGGCCCGAGAGCGTAGAGGAGCAGGGTCTTCTCTTGTTAGTATGGAGACGCAATATTAGAAACGATATATGAAAGCTGTGTTATAGGCAGTCGAGAAGAGGAGTATCAAGACAAAATAGTGAGAAGTGCAAGACAATAGTTTGCATCGCAAACACTTTTACACACAGACGCTTTTACACTGACGCTTTTACACACAAAGCTTTTACCCACAGAAGCTTTTACATACAGAAGCTTTTACATACAGAAGCTTTTACATACAAACACTTTTACACACAGACGCTTTTACACACAAACGCTTTGACACACAGACGCTTTTACACACAGACGCTTTTACACACAGACCCTTTTACACACAGACGCCTTTACACACAGACACTTTTACACACAGACGCTTTTTACACACAGACACTTTTTACACACAGACGCTTTTACACACAGACGCTTTTACACACAGAGCTTTTACACACAGACCTTTTACACACAGAAGCTTTTACACACAGACGCTTTTACACACAGACGCTTTTACACACAGACGAAAGGGTTGCTCCGGCACAGGAAAAATCGCAATTTTACCTCAGTTTCTACCGATCGACCCTCATTTCGTGCGAAAGGGTTGCTGGCACAAGTAAAATCGCAATTTTACCTCAGTTTTTGCCGATCGACCCTCATTTCGTGCGAAAGGGTTGCTCCGGGGCAAGTAAAATTGCAATTTTACCTCAGTTTTTGCCGATCGACCCTCATTTCGTGCAAAAGGGTTGCTCCGGCACAAGTAAAATCGCAATTTTACCTCAGTTTTTGCCGATCGACCTTCATTTCGTGCGAAAGGGTTGCTCCGGGGCAAGTCAAATCGCAATTTTACCTCAGTTTTTGCCGATCGACCCTCATTTCGTGCGAAAGGGTTGCTCCGGGGCAAGTCAAATCGCAATTTTACCTCAGTTTTTGCCGATCGACCCTCATTTCGTGCGAAAGGGTTGCTCCGGGGCAAGTAAAATCGCAATTTTACCTCAGTTTTTGCCGATCGACCTTCATTTCGTGCGAAAGGGTTGCTCCGGGGCAAGTCAAATCGCAATTTTACCTCAGTTTTTGCCGATCGACCCTCATTTCGTGCGAAAGGGTTGCTCCGGACAAGTAAAATCGCAGTTTTACCTCAGTTTTTGCCGATCGACCCTCATTTCGTGCGAAAGGGTTGCTCCGGCACAAGTAAAATCGCACTTTTACCTCAGTTTTTGCCGATCGACCCTCATTTCGTGCGAAAGGGTTGCTCCGGGACAAGTAAAATCGCAATTTTACCTCAGTTTTTGCCGATCGACCCTCATTTCGTGCGAAAGGGTTGACGTTTCGTGACTCGCCGCCGGCACCACCCTCGGCCTTAAGAGAGAAAGATAAAAAGAAGGCGTGAGAGAGAAGGTGAGCAGGTGTGAAGATAAGAAAGATGTGAAGATGAGCAGATTTGAAGATGAGCAGATGTGAAGATGAGCAGATGTGAAGATGAGCAGATGTGAAGATGGGAAGGTGTGAAGATGAGCAGATGTGAAGATGAGCAGATGTGAAGATGAGCAGATGTGAAGATGAGGAGATGTGAAGATGGGAAGGTGTGAAGATGAGCAGATGTGAAGATGGGAAGGTGTGAAGATGAGCAGATGTGAAGATGAGCAGATGTGAAGATGAGCAGATGTGAAGATGAGCAGATGTGAAGATGAGAAGATGTGAAGATGGGAGGTGTGAAGATGAGCAGATGTGAAGACGGGAAGGTGTGAAGATGAGCAGATGTGAAGATGAGCAGATGTGAAGATGAGAAGATGTGAAGATGGGAAGGTGTGAAGATGAGCAGATGTGAAGATGGGAAGCAGATGTGAAGATGAGCAGATGTGAAGATGAGCAGATGTGAAGATGAGAAGATGTGAAGATGAGCAGATGTGAAGATGAGAGGATGTGAAGATGAGAGGATGTAAAGATGAAAAGATGTGAAGATGAGAGGATGTGAAGATGAGAGAATGTAAAGATGAAAAGATGTGAAGATGAGAGGATGTGAAGATGAGATGTGAAGATGAGAGGATGTGAAGATGAGATGTGAAGATGAGAAGATGTTTGACAGACCCCCACTATTGGAAGAACCCTGCGCTCAGACGCTCTCGGGAAAAACCGGGAAAATTGAGGATTTACCATGATTTACCCGTAGATTCCTTTTTGGGGTAGCATATTTTCAAGGCCATCTACGGCAGCAGACGTGTGGTCGACAGCTGAGGAATACCGAAGATTGTTGGCCTCCGAAGGTTTTGAAGTGATCTGTGTTTCACCCGTAGCGTCCTTTGACTTGGTTGCCATGGAGGCCATTTGGAGCGGCACGAGGACGGAGCCTAGAAAACGGCAAGTGGCTGCAGAGCTGAAATTGGGAAGTTCCACTACACCAGATTTCTGTATCTAAGAATATAATGTATGGTAGTTCCTCATATTGGGGTTTGGTCATCAATCGATTGATAGGGAGTTAAATACCCATTATAAGGATTCCCAGTGTGATTAGTATGGGATGACCATGGACCACCATATACCATGGTTCTGCCAAGGCACATCTGTTCTGCCAAGGCACCAGTGGCCATCGGCAGGGGCACTAGAAGCTACTTTGCGGAGGCCTTTCAAACCTTGTTGTCACGGAACAGAGGGATGCAATACCCATGGCAAACGCTTACCCTGATTATCCTTGGATCAGATGTTGCAATCGTTGTTGCAAGATTTAGGAAGATTGTGTACTTGCTGTCACATGAATGCAACTATGAATAGACATTGCCCCCAGAGAGTGTACAAACTCACCAACGCTTCTCACCTGTAGACAGATGCCTTGGGACAGCCACTTGTGTGCAGAATCACAGGCTGCGCCGATGGGAACTATGGCTTCTGCTGTCGGAACCCCTGCCAACTACAATGAGGCGAGCTCACATGGATTCCACCGCAAGCCATCAGCAAAGCGGTGACAACGGAAGGGGCTTGAGTAAAAAGACATTTAGAGAATGTAGGCAAAGTAAGAACATGTCAAGACAACTAGGATCCATGTAGCTATTGCAATCTACAGACGCAATTGTTCAGCTTGTCCTGTAGACTCTGTCGATGCTTCCATTTTCCCCCTGGCCCCTGCACAGTCTTTTGCACGCTACTTATTGGAGCGAAATGGAGCGACATTTGCAAGGCTCCACTAGCCATTGGCATGGGCACCAGAAGCTTTGGAGAGGCTTGGGCCTTCCGAGATGGCACTGATTTTGAGAATCGGTCCAAGGATGGCTGTACCAAAATAGAAATTAGATGTGTGTTAGGCAGAGCAGCGCGACTTTTGATCCATAAAGAGCCTCCAGTCGTCACACTGATAAGAACAGATACTTCACCTGTCAAGCAGTGATAAGACCAGATCCTACACCTACCCTATTGTACATGCATGCACATCAACCCTTTTGCACTCCCCCCACGACTTTGTCGTGCATAAAAGGGAGTTTTCGTGCCTTATGTTCGGCAGGCTCTTTACAGGGCTCAAGGCTCTTAAGATTAGATTTGCCAGTGATGCCAGGTGGTTGTTAGGCTCTACTGGTCTTAAAATCTGAAAAAACTACAGTGCGTAAAGACTCGCACTTTTCGAAGTCAACCTTGGCATGTAAAGACTCACACCGCGGCTGATCTATCGGCAGTAAAGACTCTGCCAAAGGAAAAATGTCCGGCTCTCAAAAGAGCATCTTTTCAAAATTGCGCTCCACCTGGATCATGCCGTAGAGCTCGAAGTCACTGACAGGGCCGGTGAATCGGATCTCACCGTAACCCTATCGGCAGCCTCTTCACGGCGCTCCACATAAACATTTGTGGAACTCGCTGCAGCTTTCGATGTTGTCGTTGGCGGACGCAACACCGGTCGCAGACCCAAGTCTGCTGCGGCTTTGGCTGGTTGAACTCCTCGTTCTGCTCGAAGTTCACCAGTCATACGCAACATATGGGACAACGTCGCCCTCTGACCAGGGTTTCCCATCATCTGCTGTTGTGGTGGCTGCAGACTGCCACCTTGATCACCACCATATCCTGCCGGACCTTGTGGTCTTTGCTGCATCGGCGCAGCCATTGGTAGTTGCCCTTGTGGAGGTCCAGGCACATAGTTCGGAGCTGCCCTCGGCATCACCTTGGCCGGAGGTGGACCCATTGGAGGTGGTCCCGCTCTCACTTGAGGTGGTGGGCCCGCTGGTGGTGGACCTGGCATTGCATGTTGTGCTGGAACTGCTGGTGGTTTGGCCATGCGGTTCATCTCCTGCATGTTCTATCGTTGAAACCAAGCCTGAGGTGGCGGTTTCCTTCCAGGTTGAACCATCCCGTGCTCAAACGGAACCCCTGGGTCAGCCTCCTCCTCTGTGCTTTCTCTGGTCAGCCCATTCTTCGGCACAGCCACCACATTTCCTTGGAGCGCAAGCGAATGCGTCACCCCAGGAACCACTGGCCGGCGAAGCATCAAGCCCACCTGCGCAAAGTCCATCTCCACCTGCAAGCCATTGAGCACGCCATATCTGTAGGTCTGCATGGATCCAACCCAACTGGTCTGATCCCACTGGACCCAACGTCCATACGTCAAAGGAATGGTCTGGCCCTGCATCAGCGCTGTCATCACCTGCTGTACATGCTGCGCTGGCGGTGCTGATGCCATGCCAAAACTTGCCTTTGCCCGCATCTGTTGCCCCAAACTTCCTGGGACCATCGGCGCCATCTCATGCTCCGGGTCGTTGCGCACCACCCTTGAAGGGCGCGCATTTCCAACCTCTGTGTCCTGCTCCACATTGACCTCTTCTTCAACGTTCTCTGGCTCTGCGTTGACCTCTTCCTCTACATTCACTGGGTCAGCCGCAGTGGTCGAAGTGATTGCCACCTCGGTTGCTGTGGTAGCTGTTGGTG